TATGTTTTTTGCAGCTATGCAGTGCAGAAAACGCACATTGTGTGTGTATGTGTGTGTGTCTGTCTGTGTGTGCGCTGGGCCTCTGTACCGATTTTTCATCTCGAATCTAAAAAGGCTACAGGGCTGAAACTTTGGGAACTTAATCTACATGCGTGTGCGGGTCCCCATCCCCAAAATGGGCGGTTTTACCCGCGTAATACTCACGTACGGATCCGTGAAAGTTTTTTGCAGGTAAGTCGCTAACTCGCGAACCAGAAAAGTGTAGCAACTTACACTAAAAACCATAAGGTTTTAAGTGTAAGTTGCTACACAAAAAAAACCTCAGAAGCAAGAAGACTGGAATTTTGAAAGGATGTTTCCTGACAGCCCTGGCGGCTAGTCTGAAATTCTTTTAGCTAGAAACATCTGCCGGAGAAAATAGTGCCGTCAGCTACAAAAATCTGCGGGGACTATGCAGAAAACGCATCTTCGCACAGGCAACCCGTGCGTTGGCCAATTTTTTCTTATTAACCTACGTGTACACTTTTAAAAGTTTGTTTTTGTTTAATTTGTAGGGAATGCAGGAGTGGAAAATATGATAAAAATGGAGTAAATTATTCAAAAGTACTACGAACACCAAGACTGTTCGGATTAGAACGCTCCATACGCCGAGAGCAGCTGGACCAGGCCCTTCGGTTCTAGACTGTACACCTCCAGTTAATGCTCACTGATTTTCTATGTGCGCCACCTTTCTGAAGTAGTCCGAACGGTCGTTTAATTTCCCTTTACTAATATGCATTGTCCACCGGTTGTTGATGAACGACAGCCCCTGACTATCGGATTTTGTTTTCTCGCGTGGGTACAATGATACCCTGAACGCCGTTTACTTCAGGGAGAGCGTGATTGTTTATAATTGCGGAGAGGTATGAGAAGTATCCTTCTCTCCATCGCTGTCTCCAGTATTGCCAGCGCCCTATCTCCAGCTTTTATAAGTGCCACGTTTCGCATCCGTACCGTCATTGCCTTCAATACAGCGGTGTTGAAGCACGGTCCTTCCGATTCAACGTTTTGAGAACATCGGCGATGCTGTGAAGTTTGCGCCAACCGGCAACCCTTCGACGTG